AGACAACCCTATCAGAGACCAAAGAACCCTTTGCAGTGATAGGAAAACCGGAAGGACCGCCAGGAAACTACACACACTGCCGCCGAGACGAAGCACGCAGTTGGAAGACCAACAACAAAGCCACCAGTGCCCACACAAGCAACGAGAAACTAGAGACAAAAACCCGAGACGTGAAGACTCAAGGGAAAGAACTAACCAGCCTCATACAGGACTGGACCGATCCGCAAAAAGAGGCAGAGCCGCAGGAAGAACCGCAGGATCAGAAACCGAGTAAAGCAGCGCCCTCAACCAAGACTGCCAAAGAACCAGAAGGAACAGCCGCCAGGTAACCAGGAAGCCAATCCCGGCAAGCCGGAAAGGAACCCAGGCGAGCAGACATGCCCCGTCCAGGAGGAACCCCCTCCCCTGAAGGACCAACAAGGCCAAACACCGAAGAGCCAGGGCCCAAGCAGAGGCCAACAAGGAAAACGAGCACCATGAACTAAAGCATGAGATGCGAAGCGAAAAACTGCGACCCCGCAACCCGAAGGAGCCACGCAACCAGCTCCAGCAGGGAAGAAGGACACATGCATCTCTGAGGTATACATGAGAACTACGCAGGACGTGTACCACACGAAAACAAAACGTACGTTCTGGAAAAAGAATAAAGAACAGCCGTAGCCAGGACCGGAATCCTAGCAACCCCTCTCCCAAGAAAAGGAACCAGTAGGGCAGGAGTGGTTGACCAGAAGTCCACAACCACCCACAGACATCGCAACATAGAAGCCTGCAGTGAGAAACAAGGAAAAAGTGAAAGAACTCAGTACCAAAACTGAACACTGGGGTAGCCCAAAATCAGGGAACTGAACATGGACAGAGGCCCATTCCAGCGCCTATCATCAGTATAGCTGATAAGCACCGACCAAGATACACAACCATGTGTAGCATAGAGGGAGGTAAAATGGAAATAGGTATGGAAAAGACCCGAAATATGGACCAAGTAGCAGCCGGTAATGCAATGGACACGACCAACCACATCGTGCGTTGTGGTAGGTCGCACATACACAGAAGGACACCATGGATGTAAGGGTGTAGCCAGGCACCGAAGATAGGCAAGGAAGGAGTGTCCAGAGATCAGAGACCGAGTCAATGAATGAGGACACAGAAAGCATGGACCGAGGGAACGAAGGAGTGTCCAAATATTGAGAAAAGACCCAGGTGCTGAAAACTAAACAAAAAGCACCAAAATTCAGGGCTGTGCCCCAAAGTACAACAAAGAACAAGACACACGGACAAAGTAAAGTCACTGCAAGACACACGCAAAGTGTTCAAGCAAAACATCTAACACCTCACCAAAAAAGCGAGAACAAGCACCTGGCCAACAGATTCGCCAGACAGTACAATCTCACTTGCAGAACACACACACTACTGTGTCACGACATAGCTAAGCCGTGCAATGTAACAGGAGCATCCCTAGTGGAGAATGTCCAGAAGTGCGTGCCCAGTATGAGAAGATGAGGTGCATGCAGTACAGAGGCAGAGGAAATGCCACTCAGAGCCACCCAACACCCACAAGCCGAGAAAAGAACTAGAAGATCACTCCACACACAAATCCAGAACACCCCGAGTATCCAGGGGGGGTTATGACCGAAGATAAGAGTAGCGAGAATGGCGTAGAATCCGCAAGAAAAGATGCGGAACAACAACACGTGTGCGCACCGCCCAAAACAATAACCTCCCCCCCCTCCGCGCCTGAGAACCGAACCGCACACCCGTCTTCTGGGGAGGGCGCCAGCAAGGCAGATGTTATGAATAATAGGAATGGCGAGACAGGAAGGAAGAAGAAGCACGGAAGAGGACCAACAAGTCCTAGGAAGGACTAGAAGGAAGCCTCACCAGAAGTCAACAGATGCTCCATTAATATTGGAAGTATGGAAGAGTTCCGCAAACCAACAAGAACTGTGAGAAGCAAATCGCAAATGCACAGAAGCACGTATGGCCCAAAGAGACCCTCCTGACCCGGAGACACGCAGGGATCCCGATACGAAAGGAATATCAATGCGACATTATCACAAAAAGGAGAGAAAAGGGGAGAAAAGCATGCCGAGGAATGACGGAACCGACGGACCCTAAGGGACACAGAACCGAACCCGGGGAGGGGTAGACCCGAAACCAACACGAACGCAGAAGGGGAAGAAAAAACCTTACTCTGAGGAACTGCAAGCCCAGCCCCAAGGGTACAAAAACCCAAACAGGGTAAAATGGGGCCTAGGCCGCCCAGGCATCCCTTATCCATCCCGGGAACATCTACGGCAGGACCCGGAGCCGAGTCATCCCCCCAAAGCCCCAGACCCACAAGTAAACACCGGGGCAGTCATACAAAACACTAAGGAAGGGAGCCCACTGGTCAGACCCATATGGCACGGCTGGAGGAACAGGCTCGAATGCCTCCGTTGCCACCCCCGGAAGAGCAAAACCCCCGAGACTACCCGAGTCTCGACCAACCAGACCCTGCCCGAACCCCGAAACCCGCCGACGGTTCAGAACAGGAAGCAAGGGGAATGAAGTACTGTATGCACAGCAGAAGGGGAAGGACTAGGAGGAGCAGACGGAACCAGAGCCAAGCTACTTCCACCCCAAAGTCCCAAACCTGATAACCAAAACGGGGCAGTCTCGGGGCTGGGGCCGCAACCAACCTAGAGCGTTGCAGCAACCTATACCCTAGCATGCTACGCCACAGCTGCCTGCACCCTGCATATCATTATCAGCGGCAAGGAAGAATGTGAACACGTACATACAAAACACGTCGCACGACTCCGGGTCAAAAGAATCACTGACCCAGCAGGCAGCATGATGGAGTCACAACCAGTAAGTGTCACCCTGAGACAAGGGGACAGAGCAACCTTCAAACTCGCAAGATGCGAAGGGGAACTCAGGGGTCACATTGTTCCTCCTCCCCCCTTCCTCACTGTAATCCATATGCCAACAATAATCCTCAATGAAGGTAAAGTGCCTAAGAATATTATTCTGTATAAAATGTATTTTTTAGTTAATATATTTGGAGGTGTGGAACGGATTAATTCAGTTTACATTATTTCTTATGGGAAAATTTGTTTCAGTTTTCGAATTGTCTCTGGGAAAGGATTAAATTTTAAAACTGAGGTACCACTGTATACCACTTGCGGCAGGCCAATCCTGGAGTATGCAGCTCCAGCCTGGAGTCCATACCTAGTTAAACTTAAGACAAAGTTAGAGAATATTCACAGGTATGCCACTAGACTAGTCCCAAAACTGAGAGATATGAGCTAAAAGGAAATGCTATGGAAGCTAAACCTTACGACCCTGCATGACAGAAGAGTAAGGGAAGACATCATCACCACCTACAAAATTCTAATAGGAATTGACAGGGTGGAAAAAGAAACTATTTAGCATGGGTGCAACACGAACAAGAGGGGACACAGGTGGAAACTTAGAATCCAAATGAATCACAGAAACATTGGAAAGAATTTTTTTAGTGTCAGAGTAGTTAACAAATGGAATACGTTATTCAGTGATGTGGTGGAGGCAGATTCCATACACAGTTTCGAATGCAGATTTGATAGAGCCCAATACGTAGGCTCAAGAATCTGTACACCAGTTGATTGACAGTTGAGAGGTGGGACCAAAGAGCCAAAGCATAACCCCTGCAAGCACAACTAGGTGAGTACAACTAGGCGAGTACAGCTAGTACTCAAGCTGATGGGTATGAGCTACTAGGAGAGACTACGAGAACTAACCATCATGTCAATGGAAGACAGAAGAGTTAGGGAAGACATGATCACTACATACACAAGATTCTCAGAGAAATTGATAGAGTAGATAAAGACAGTTTAACACAGGGGGCACATGTACTAGGGAACACAGGTGGAAATTAAGTATGCAAATGAGCCATAGAGACATTAGAAAGAACTATTTTTAGTGTCAAATGTAGATATAATAGAACCCAATTGGCTCAAGAATCTGTACACAGCTTGATTGACAGTTGAAAGGTGGGAGCAAAGAGCCGAAACTCAACCCTCGCCCTCCAAGCACAAGTAGGCGAGTACAGCTCTGAAGGCCGACCTCAAAGTGCCATGAGTACAAGTGCACAAACCACCAGTGCACCCCAAAGAGATTGGCTCACTCCTGATCTGGGACATAGACAGAGGAGCAATGAGACTCTTGATTCACCCAGGCTGAGTGTCCTCTCAAGTGGGATAGACCTCTAACAGAGAAAGCTCCCAAATGTACCAGAGAAGAAAACTACCAGTGCAATGGAACACACAGGAAAAATAGCTCTGAGCACATGCAGCTACAAGTGCACTAAGAGCCAAGTCCACACAACACAAACAATGCACAACCAAAAGGCAACAGAATGAAGTCCTAGTAAGGCTGGCACTTGGCTGAAATGTACTGGGACCAGCCACAGCTGGCAGACGACCCCAGGAACCCTACAGCAGACAATGGAAACATTGTTTCCAATCTGTATCAGCGACAGAACTGATGGCATTAGCCAGCAGACAATGTGAGCCCCCTCCCTCAAGTAGCAGGAGGGGTGGTGCACGACTGGTGAACGACTGCACTCTTGTTTCAAGAGATTCAATCATTTGTTTACACTGTTGGGGGAGTTCGTTTGAAGGTTTTGAAGCTTCAGTCACTTTTAATCCAGCAGTCCTCTGTATTGGTTCACTGACTTTTCCCTGGATGCTTTCCCAGTGTGGGGGGCAGAGTATCACCTGACCTCTGTGAGGGGGGGGCCAAGTTTTGGCACTGAACCCCAGTAGGCCAAACAGAACTCCTCAGCTGATATAATCTAGTAGTTGGGAGCCATCTCAGCTTCAGGAAGCCACCAGGAGCTCCCCCCAGAAAGGACTGTCCTCTATATAATCACAGAGATAAACAGGCAGCATTTACACGACAGCTTCTTTATCATACAGGCATACCTTTCATTATTTAATTGTTACTAAGCATACTGATGCATTAAAATGTTAATATATATTTACCATTTTCCACAATGCTAGAAGAATACTGGATTTTCACTTGCTGGCCTCGACTTCTGCCACATGGTTCTCGTGTTGGTCTATTGCTTAGCTTATCCGAATTATCCTTTACACTATCTTTCACTACAGGCTCGTGATCTACATCATTTATGTAATCAGCCTGAGTCACACTACTGAGTCTTCTTGCTACAAACATTATATTGTCTTCACTGTCATGGGTGTCACCACTGTTGATGGAGGTAGTATCAAGTGCTCCGTGAGTTACTCTACTTAACACACACAAGACTAACAATAACCCTAAGCTAATCCTCCAGTCATGCCTCCACTTCACCCTCCACTTATGAGTCCACCAATAGCTTTCATTTCTAGTTCTAGAATTCACTACTTTTGAACTACATGAACACATTTGACTTTTCTTTTGTTCTGAGCTTTCTCTCGATGCATATTGTAATTGTATTAGGAAGTTATCCGATTCAGTATCTTCTGTTATTCTTTCTGCTGCAATGGTTTGTACAGTTCTTAGTTGTTCTGATGTGGAGGAGTTGCTCTTGGGTGAAGCTGTTTTCCTGCCACCACTCTCCTTCCACCGAAAGTTTGGCTTCATTTTGTGATAAGGCTATTCCAAATCACTTAAATATTAGTTTTTCACCTGTAAAAAAAAATATGCAAAATCAATTATATGGTACTGATTACTTAATTTGTTGCAATTGTATATGAATAGGAATTTCAGTGATTCTAAGGTATAAGTACAATTGGTGGTTTCATTATATCAATTATACGGAAAAGATACTGTATCGAAATATAGTTAGGGAAAATTTAATTACTGTATACAGTGTAAGAGTCAACAAAAGTACAGTACAAATATTTCAGCAATGTTAAAAAACTATATTTACATGGCACAAGTAACTGTCATATAAAGCGTATGCTGTGCAGATTAAAACAGTACAGTACCTAGCTTTACAAATCTCATAGTATTTATATAACATTGTAAACCCTGATGATCCATTTATTTAGAGACCATGAATTTGGACTTATCAGGCCAATTAAAAAATTCAGTCCTTATACAGAATGTGGTCATTTATCAGAATAAACATCATCATCAAAGCTCAACACACACAGACTTACTTACAGTATTTAAAGTCTTTCTAGAAATACCCAACTATATTTATATAAACACTATTATTGTACCATGCACCACACACAAATCTACATAAAATACTGTTTAACTGTATCAAATCCAGATTCTGTTACTATTCTCAGCCAATATACTCGGCCACCTAAAAAAACTAAAGCGAACAAATTTTTTAAACAATCACAACTTTAGTTTGTACATACCAGTACAGTATTGCACTGTAATTACAGAAACCAAGTCAAGGTTTCAAGACTTGGGCCAATTCAAGGGGGGCCCAAGTCAACTTTAGAATGATATATTTCAGATTGATCTTTCTTTGATATTTAGCCTTTTAAACATAAATTATTGGACTGATATTATTGCTAATATTAGTATGGGCCTTCAGGCATATGGAGTTGTAAAGCCTACCAGGGACCACTAGCCAGAACATGGTCCCCTCAGAGAGGTACAGGGAACAATGGCCCATGAAACTCATGTATGAGAATATTCATGTCTGCCATCAACTGGGATTGAGCACCCAGAAAGGTAGACACTCCAAAACAGACCCCTCCTGGTAGAAAAATTGCAACCCGAGACCGAACAGAGGCTAGAAATCTCCCAAAGAAAACAAGCTAACAAGCAACACACTGCGTGCTGCTCGTTTGCGCTGACCCCCCCCTCTCCCCCTGGGAGAGGGGGGGTCTCAGCCCACTGAGCTGGCAGCTGAACCATCAGTTTGGAGGCTGAAAACGGAAACAAAACCCGCAGACTGGGGGAAGGGAGGGTGCCAGGGAGCTTCCATGGCTCAACACAGAAAATGCCGTTTCATTACATTCCACACTGGTTTTCTGTGGGGAGAAAAGCTCCCTTTAGCTAACTACCCAAAGAGCAGAAAGAGGGACTTGCCCCAGGAGGCGGAACACCGCACCACTCATGATGAAGACGAAACAACTGGCTGCAACCGCCGACCCAAGGGGACAAGACCACAGAGGTCTTGTCCCGGCAGAGGTCCTGGCAGAGGTCCCGGCACATTAACAGGGGGCGGCCAGGCCCCCTGTTCAATCTCCAAAATCCCCGTGCCTGAATATTCGCCCAAGACATACAGGTATTGCCAAACACAGCAGCCAAAGCTGCAAACTGATGAACATCATAGGTGCAAGGGTAGACCGCAGACTGGCTAGACTTAATAACCCTGCGGACGACCTGAGAGACCCGAGCCCTGAACAGGAAACGAGAAAAACCGGGTCAACCCAAAGCATACCCCCGTACACAGAAGACGAGGCATGCAGATAATGGGGTAAAGCGGCAATCGGACACAAAACATGATGCACCCCCAGCCTGACCAACCAAGCATCAATAACCCACGGAACCCTCCAGAAGCCCACAATCTCGTACTTCACCAGAAAAGGAGACAACTGCAAATGCACTAAACGTCCACCACCACTGAAAGGGCAGAAATTCCTGGGTCGGAGATGAGTATGAAGCTCACCAACCGGATCCCTAAGAGGCCAAAGCCAACAGAAACAAATCCTTTTGAAAACAATCTTGGCCCGTAGGGGCCACAACAAACCAAGGAGAAAAGAGAGCACCTGGTCCAAAGACCAGGACAGCTCAGACGCCGCATGAGCAGGCAGGAGGTGGAAAAACGCATGAGAAAGCTTACGGAACAGAGCCGAAGTGACATCCACCCCAAATGCAAGATGGAACAGCTCCGCCAGTACCGCACGATAAGAGGTGACAGTATTCAGCATAAGATGTCGATCCATCCAGGGAACTGGATAGATGGATTGGATAGTGGGGGAACTGGATGGATGGGAGGACTGGATGAATGGACAGAGGGACTGGATGGATGGTGGGAGAGGAGAATGAATGGATGGATGGTGGAGGATTGTTTGAATGGTGGGGGACCGGATGGATGAAGGTAGAGACTGGATGGATGAATTGTGGGGGGACTGGATGGATGGTGGAGGGGACTGGATGGATGGATGGAGGGACTGGATGGATGATGGTGTAATAACCCTGCTGACCATTGTAATCATTCTCTGTACTCTGTGATCGTCTCTCTCTTCACTCAATACTCCAGCTTAACACTGTTACAGTCCAGTATGACCCCTCACTGGACGGCCACGAATATAAACTGAATATTAAATGAGGAGGACATAACAAGGATAGGGGTTATTAATTTGTTACTAATTATAAAATAAAAACATTAAACACTGCCACCACCTTCCAAACATAAATGTGTCTAAAATTATTGGTCCCCAGGAAGGAAGGGACTCAATAATCAGGGAACTCAAAGGGTAAGTCAATGAATCTTCATGGATTAATACTGTAATCTTACTGAACTGAACGGGAGATCCTAGAACGATTTTACTATTCATAAGATGGAGGACACGGGGGAATTTCTAACACAGCAATTGGAAATCACAAGAATGAATAACACAGTCATTAATCAAAGGGAATGGATAACTAAACACAAAATAAAAACAATTAAAATTATTTTATTATTTGAACCAGTATATTTAAATCAAAATTGAAATATAGCCTACTCTAAATAGAAAATATCCTATGAGACACTGTCATGTACTACCAATGTTACACAATTCAAAGTGCACATCTACCTTCAATACTGCAGCTTGCCAAAGGATGTTGATTGGCTGCCCGCAGGTCCTTTGACCTGTACCTCAGTCAAGGTCCCAAGACACACTAACATTTCTTTATTAAAAACGCTTACCAGTGGGACAGGCTCCACCCCCTAGTTCTTAGGCCCAAATTAACTCCGCCTATCACAAGCCTATGGCCAATGGATTTAAACATGACTAGGTGATCTAGAAACCGGGCCAATGGCATGGGCAGGCACTACCCTGTGAGGCCCCGCCTCCCCAGGCCTACATGTCTTTAACCAATCCGGATCAGGCTTGACCATAAGGGTCAATTCCTCTTGACAGAAAACTCCAAAAACTGAGAAGACACCAACGACTTTCCTGGCTGGGCACCCACGTGTAACTTGAGATCACAAGTTTATTAGCCCTGGGGTACTATTTTCAATTTGTCACTGGACAGGAGGACAGGAGAGAGAGGGGAGCAAGTGGCTTCAAGCTGTTTATGACCCCGAGGGTTAGACCGTGACAAAAGATAGGGATGACCCAAAGGGAGGGAAGGCAAGTGAGGGAAGGGAAGAGGAAGAGGAAGGAGAAGAGAAAGGAGAAGAGAAAGGGGAAGGGGGAAAGGGAAAGGGGGAAGGGGCTATGGTGTGCATATACCATTACAATGGGGGGACTGTATGGATGGATGATGGTACTGGTGGGGATGGATGGTGGGGGGGGGGACTGGATGGATGGAGGATGGGACTGGAAGGTTGGATGGTGGGGGGGGGGACTAGATGGATGGCAGGCGAGTGGGAGGAGGAGACTGGTGGGGGTGGGGGGTGGCAATAGGGAAGAAAATCTTTTAGAAACACCAGCACTAGAATCATGTAAGGGAAGAACATATGGAGGGCGAATGGGTGAGCATGTGGTAGAGTGAGTGGATGGATGAGTAACAGAGCAGGCGATAAAGTGGGTGGATGGGTGGGTAGCAGTGGTCGGGCACGTGTCAGTGTATGCAGCAGCACGAGCAGGTAGCAGATGGTAGACTAAGGAGGAGGGTGGCAGGAGCTCAGAAGACAGTGGGTGGGTAGGTGAGTAGTAGGACAGGCGGCCAAGTGGTTGGGAGGGTAGCAGTGGGCAGACAGGCGGTGGTCTAACACAGGAGCTGGTCACCCTCGGTCACTCCCTAAGACCCATACCTGGCCCTACCTGCTACTTCCATCCCCCCACTGGACCTTCCCCCCCCCCCCCCCACCTGTACCTTCCCAGCCATATCTGGACGGTATTAATACGGTAAGCTTCCTTGCTACCAGCTGCTGGATCGGGAGGTAGATTGCCTGAGCGCACGACATTAAACTCTTATTGTTTACTAACTGATTAGTTTTGAGTGTGAAAGCCTGCTTGACTGTTAGTGGCTGATTGACTGTGAATGCCTGAATGACTGTAAATGCCCGATTGATTATAAATGCCTGACTGACCATAAATGCCTAACCAGTTTCTATCACAACTGTGAATGCTTGACTGCCTGTGAATGCTTGCCTGACTGCCTTTGGTTATGACTGCCTGTGAATGCTTACCTGACTGCCTTTGGTTATGACTGCCTGTGAATGCTTGCCTGACTAACTTCTTGTGACTGGAAATACCGAACTGCTTGCTACCACAACTGTGAATGCTTGACTGACTTTTTGTGAAAGTAAGTAACTGGTTCTGACTGGCTACTACATAACAGAGGCAGTGAAATGTGTGAAAGGAAAATCTGGAACCAGTGATGCAGATATGAATCACTGGTTCAAGGGAAAAATATCAGAACGAGGGAAACTGGATCAACCCAAAGCGAATCCCCGGCCACAGAAGCCGAAGCGTGCAGGTAACGGTGAAGAGCGGCAACCGGACACAAGACATCATGCACCCCTGGCCTGACCAACCAAAGCATCAATGACCCATGGACCC